ATATATATATATATATATATGTATATATATATATATATATATAACAAAGATGAATTTCTTTGGGAAACAGAAAAATTTTATTGTGAATTTTCGAGACTGGTTCCCCAGTTCGTCGTCAGACAACGGGCGTGTAGACACAATTAAATTCTAGACTGGGTCTGGCAAAAGGATTCCATGATTGGTTAAGGTCGTCATCTCTGGATTGGTTTACTCAGTTTGAATCTGTTCTTAACGATTTTGTATGCGGCATCTAGTTGTGATGCCGTTTATTGTGGCCAAACTGGGAAATCTGTCTCAACCCGTATACCTGTGCATCAGTTAGCTGTGAAGCGACGCGGCTATCTATCCCAGGTGGCCATGCACACACTGGACACTGGGCATAAATTCGCATGGGTAAACACTGGCATTGTTGGCGCCTGCCAAACAAGGAAGGGCCGCGAATTCCTGGAGGCAATGCACACAGATGAGGCATGCATCAACCGGCATATCGATTTAGATGCCGCATACAAAATCGGTAAGAAGAGATTCAAACTGTGTCCACCAATCCCGAGATGACGACCTTAACCAATCATGGAATCCTTTTGCCAGAGTCAGTCTAGACATTAATTGTTTCTGCACGCCCGTTGTCTGAAGACGAGCTGGGGAACCAGTCTCGAAAATTCACAATAAAATTTTGCTGTTTCCCAAAGAACTTCACCTTTCTTATTATATTTCTTGGGATGCTTTTTTCAATTTATATATATATATCTATATCGGCAAGGAGAGACGACAGAAAATGTGGCTAGATGGATACAGTACTGTTTCGGGCTTATTTTGCCTTCATTAAGCGAATCATAACCCTGATCACCAGCAGCCGGGACCAGAAATACAAACATGCGCACGGACGCACCTGGCGCTGTTGATCCACCACTGGGGTCTACCAGATAGGTCATAAGCTCTTCATCGAACCGACGTTCATCAGCGCCTCGCCACCTGTCATTCTCTGTCGCTGCATATCGGGTATTTATGAATATGTATATCGTTATGTGTAAAGATTCGAGGTCCAGATATTGTATCGCGTTCATCATCCCCCGAAAAAGACGAAGAAGAAGATAGGGCGCATTCATGCACCGAGTTATATTTGTACAGACGCTTCGAAAGCCCACTCGTTTTCATCATCAGATTAATGTGTTGACAGTTCCTGCTGGTCAATCAAGAGTGGAGTAAGACGCACTCGAGAGACTGAAGTGTGACAGATGCATTGCATTATTGCCAGCCTACAAGGGACAATCTGCAGTAGTGATCGACAAGTCAGATTACCTTCGAAAAGTCAACGCCTTGCTCAGTGATCATCTTGCCTACTTCAGGTGCGATGGACATCGGATGAAGTAGCTGGTGGCACAAATCAACACGACGCTCGCTAGGTTACAGAGCAACGGTATCATCTCAAAAGCATAACCACCGACCATTAAACCAACAGACTCGGCTATGGCGAGATTCTATGGGCTGCCGAGAATGCGCATGCACGGTGCCCCAACTCGACCTATCGTATCTCTGCGTAAAACACCCAAATTCAACCTGGCCAAATGGTTCTTCCGACGTCTGAACTATCCCACATAAGGCTCCGATACAACGATCTGCCCAGCCGCACTTTTCTTAGAAAGACTCCAGAATCTACACCTTAATACAGACGAAATCATGGTATAATTTGATGCTACCTCACTCTTCACATCAGTTTCTCAGAGTCTTCAAGGTGAAACTATCGGCGATTTGCTTGACAGTCAAAATGACGAGGGCACCAATAGGCCAATAATACTTCTTGTCATGAGACCCAAGGTCCATCTGTCATGAGGATACAACAGCGAATGTCGTCTACCGTGCTCAGTGCTGTTCCTGTTAGCCGACCTACGTTGAAAAGACCGAAAAACGGTTACAGACCCGCATAAGTGAGCATGCAAGGGCAGTGAGGAGGATGGACCGGCTTTCGCTGGTGGCGGAACACTGTGATGCCTCTGGACACACTTTTTGCCTTCCCAACGCTGAAATCCTAGGCTGAGGTACCGATTGAACGGCCAGGGAAACTCTGGAAGCCTGGCACACTGCACCAACTTCCATCAGCCGCTGCAGGATTCACCGGGCGGCTTATCAGGCCTTACGAGTGCGGCTCAATCAACGGGATGGAAGACATGAAGTCAGGAACACAGACCCAAGTGAACAGAGTTTGCGCCCAAACACCGATGACAAGGATCACCGGCCCCATAGAGAAGAAGACACAGGCAGCGGGCCAGCAATCACCGAGGTGCACACGGGCAGATGCAAACGGGGGACAATTACGAGAAACGCGGGTCAGGCACAACAAATCCGGGCAAAGCAGACGAGGTCAAGTACCGTTGTCATCCCGACACACCTCCCGGACGAAAAGATTGAGATGAGGATCTACCAGAAGGACAGTAATTAACTTCTCTCGCCGCCACATATCCTGCAGGAATAGCGGTTGGAACGACAGAACGCCGGCATGCCCAAAACCCATAAACACAGTGAGGCGCCGTACAGAACCCACCTCCGACGATGGAAACTTGTTTGCTTTTAAAATGTCTAGGCTATTAAACATATGGTTCCCGAGATCGCCTCTTCTTCTCACATGTATGTATATATATATATATATATATATATATATTGAAGAAGATGGTAAGGCGAGCTCTGGGGATGATGATTTATTCATCTGACGTTTCACACTCATACTCGAGCGCATCATCGGAGATAGGAAATATTAGAAAATTATACGGTTTAAATAGGTAACTCTCGCTCGCGCCTGATAGGGCCGTCAATTTCTATCCTCATTGGGCCTCCCCTGGTGCGTAGGTGGTGTTTGGCGGCCTCGTATGGTGCCGGTAGGTCGACGCAGCGGTTGATGGAGTTGGTGTCTGTTTGCCAGGCCTCGATTATTTCACGCGCCAGTCTGTTTTCCGCTCGGCCGAGCACTTGGGCGCCGTCAAAGTCAAACCGGTGGTCATTTTCCAGACTGTGCATGGCGACGTGTGAGCGCGCATCTTTCCGCTTGACGGCTAAGGTGTGCTCATGTATGCGCGTTTTAAGTCGTTTGTTTGTCATGCCGCAATAGTTAGCCTGACAGTCTAGGCAGTTGACGCGGTAAATGACACCGGACATGTCCTCAGGGAGCAGCCTACCCTTTGGCTGCATGACTAATCGGTGGATAGTGGCTTCCGGTCGGTGTCCAACGCCCACGTTAAGTGGTCTTAGCATACGCTCAGTGGCCTCAGAGACGTTCCTCATGTAGCGCAAGACACGGAGTACCTCAGGTTTTTGGTTCGCCTCAGCGTCAGTCTTTGTGTGTCTTTGGAACAGACATTTGTTTACGAAGCTACGTGGGTATCCATTGACAAGGAAGAGGTGCCACAGGGACGCACGCTCTTGTAACTTCTCGGCCTCTGTGGTGCAGTGCGTGTTGATGCGGCGGAAAAGTGTCCGGACGCAACTGCGTTTATGCGACAGCGGATGGTTGCTGTTGTTGTGGAGTATTTTCTCTGTGTTTGTAGCTTTTCGGAAAACACCGGTCTGGAGGGTCCCATCTTCCTGCCTCGTTACCCGCACGTCGAGGAAAGAGAGCGTTCCGTTCTTTTCTTCCTCCATTGTGAATTGGATTTGTGAGAAGATGGAGTTTAATTCTCCTCTAAAGGCCTCCTTCGCATCTCGGTGTAGGACGACAAAGGTATCGTCCACATAGCGCATCCAGAATTTTGGCTTGTAGGACCGAAATCCACGAGTTTACGGTTCCTGTAGTACCGCCTCAGCCAGGTAGCCGGAGATCGGGGATCATATCCGGGCTCCCTGGATTTGCTCATAAGTATGGCCGTTAAAAGTGAAATACGTGCATAAGCAGTAGTCCAGTAACTCAATCGCGTGCTTCCTTTTGAACGGTTGTTCTTCATCGTCGTACTTTCGTTCCAGTAGGTCACTGATGACTCTCATGGTCAACTCTATAGGGATGGAGGTGAACAAAGAGACGACGTCAAAGGATACCATGATCTCATCGGGGGCTATTGTCACGCCTCTGACTTTTTTTAGGAAGTGAGTTGAGGAGGCGGCTGTGTGTTCGGAGCCTTCTGTCAGCTTCTTTAAGTGCTTGGTAAGCCATTTAGCCAGTCCGAAGGTAGGTGTGCCTTTCAGCGCTACGACGGGTCGTAGGGGGACATTTGGCTTGTGGATTTTTGGCAAACCGTAGAAACGCGCTGGAGCGGCATCTTGCGGTCTCATATATAAATATATATATATATATATATAGCAGCAAGGAGGGACGACAAAGAATGCGGGTAGATTGATACAGTACTGTTTTGGGCTTATTGTGCCTTCATTCAGCCAATCATAACCCTGACCACCAGCAGCTGGGACCAGAAACATAAACATGCGCACAGACGCACCTGGCGCAGTGATCCACCACTGCGGTCTACCAGATGGGTCATAAGCACTTCATCGAACCGAAGTTCATCAATGCCTCGCCACCTGTCATTCTCTGTCCCCGCAAATCGCGTATTTATTCAATCAGGAATGGGCGCACACCGATCTATTGGCTTCACGAAGCAAACAAGCTCCGTATGTGTGGCAAAGGTCACGAACAGGCAACCAATTACCAGGCCGAAGTCGGCCAAGTCATAATATCAGCAAGGAGGGACGACAGAGAATGCGGGTGGATTGATACAGTACTGTTTTAGGGCTTATTGTGCCTTCATTCAGCCAATCATAACCGTGACCACCAGCTGCTGGGACCAGAAACATAAACATGCGCACAGACGCACCTGGCGCAATTGATCCTCTTTGCTGCTATTATGACTTGGCCGACTTCGGCCTGGTAATTGGTTGCCTGTTCGTGACCTTTGCCACCCATACGGAGCTTGTTTGCTTCGTGAAGCCAATAGATCGGTGTGCGCCCTTTCCTGGTTGAATATATATATATATAATGGTAAGAGACGCCCACCGATTGTTCTTGCGGAACTCACTCGTTCCGTTGTGCCTTACGGGCTCTCTCTCTTGAGAGAGACCAACCAGCATCCGCACAGCCGCCCATGATATAGGCAGTATGCTATAACCGAAACGAGTGAGATCCGCAAGAACAATCGGTGAGCGCGCTCCTACCATTGTATATTCCCGATCGAAAACCGACAGGCAACGGGCTCGTGGCCCGGTGGTTAGAGGCGTGGACTTCTAACAGGTCACGAGTTCAAGCGCCAGGTGTTCCACACTTCGGGGTTGGGCTGCCAACGGCTGATAAGTCAGAAATGGCCATTCCAGTCTTCCTTTTCTTTGTCGGTAATAACATACTGCATGTATATATCACAGATGTAGGCTCACCGATCAGGTTTTGGACGTGCTCGAGCGTTTCGCTTTGTCTTTTTCGGTACGAACTCATTTACGTCTACTACTTGTCGCTGTGCGTCTGCTTCAAGTGTTCTAGTATGAGCCCGGATGCACAACGGGACGAGCACCTTCCGTAACCTGATCGATCAACCAACATTTATTATAATTGATATTCCCAAACATAACCGACTGTAGAACGGACCCCTGGCTCAGCCTTCATTGTCGTCAGTGGCAAGCTGGCTGGCGCACAGAATGGGATCGTGTGAGATCCCAAACACAACAGTGGGGGTCACGCGCCTACCTGGCATGTTTTTATACCTCACTTTATAAGGCCGATGGCGTACTGATGGTTGGTATCGACCGTGAAACAGTCGTCCGCGTCTGGCCTGTTGCACCCTTAGCGAGCTGCCTATGTAAAATATTTGTATGTTTTTAAAACAAAGCGGTTACTTTGGTAAAGACAGTAACGTTTATTTCGTACATTTTCGATTCAGTTTCGCTAGGTCGACCTCAGGCGCGAAGTGTGTAAAACCAATGTAATATAAACATGTCAAATATCGATACAATGCGTGTGTCCTTAACTACACGCGGCCTACGTTGTTAGCCACCGGAGTGCTGCTGTAAAAACTGGGAGTTCGCATGGTGCGCGTGTTGCCCTTCTATGAATTGTCGTTTTAAACCGACTGTTAAAATTCAGTCGTGAAAAACTTGTAGCTTGTACTGCTTTACGATGATGCGTCGTCTATGTAATGATAATCGCTCATGCTGAAAACAAAGAATTCGGATAATTGAATAAATCCATGGTCGCCGATGCATACTCACTTAGCTGATTCATCGATCTGGCACCGGCGTACCAAGTCTTGTGCATCTGCTACTTCTGTCGTTACTGACACCTCCTGCATGAGTTTAAACGTTCGGAAAAAATAGACAAACTACTCTGGTGGTCGGCCGGGATATATGAACATGATTTTAACGGGCATTCGTCTTTGATTGCAGGTTACTGGTAAGCATTAAATTTGCACACTTCAGGTGTTAAAAACGGTGAGCGAAATGAATGCCCAATGGATCATTCGACTCTTCAATACTTCTCCCTTAGAAAACAACGTGCGCGTATCAGGCACACAAAGAATAACAGAATTGCACATTCCCTTCCACCTGTGGATGATTCTATACTGACAGTCTATCTTTGCAGGTGTCTTCATAGTCAGTCGTTAGCAGGAGACCTGCAGTGTATCACAAATGCTCTGTGAATGTTTATTAGCATTCTAATCATCATTATTAGAAAGTTTGCTACACCAAACGAACAAACACATGCGCTAATTAACTGCCCTTGGGAATTTATTTGACGAAAGCCTTCATGCTCATTCGCATTTTTGATTTTATCCTACATTATAATATACTTATCCCGAGTATTCTACCGTTTCGTGATAGAAGAGTTAATTATGACGATCCGCCTGAACGATGCTACATTTGTATTTGCTCACTGTGTCCGGAATGTTTTCAAAAATGTTAACAAAATAATTTTATTTAAAGTTTGCATTTGTTTTTATGATATCAAGATACCATTTATTTTTTGACATGGTTTTGCATAGAGCACAGTACATAAAACACACATTAAACAAGAACGCAAGTGAAATTTGGCGATTTCAGTGGAGTTCCTGTCTTTGAGAATTGTACCCACCACCCGTAACACACATTCCACATTAGGACCACTCAGAGATTATTCTATCTGTCGCCTTGTACATCTAGAAGGATATATACCGATCAACAATTATTTCTAAAATTGACACAATCAAAATATTCGTGTTTATGGTCAGAAATGTTTGTTTTTATATCGGTCGTCAATGACTCAGTTGTTTTTGAGTAGAGTTCAATTACTGCAATTTCAATTACACTGCCATTTTAGGTGAATTCAATACAAGATACACTTGGTTACTCGCTGAGCAGTTTTTAAGCACCAGTAAGCCATTAAACGCCCTGCCTTCAACGGAGAGTTGAAAGATGGGAAAACTAGAAGATTAGTAGTCTTTAAGTGTGCTTGATCTATTTGAGATACTTTGCTAAAACAAAACATCTCTACGCAGAGCTCACAGTTCTGACATTAAATTGCCGGCCCTTCATTGGTTAACCCTTTTCACCATGTTTGTATTTTTAAGGAAACCTACAGCATGAAAATTATTTTTTTCAACCAAACGCAACATTAAAAAAGCATATTGGCCCAACACAACCTATCGCGGCAGCTGGCATTAAACGAGCGCAAATACGCTTGGGACCCATTTTCGTTTGAACACGGTGAGTCCTTGACGATTACAGCCGACAGCAAACTTCTAAATTCTGATGTATACCTCATTATTGCGGCTTGCCTGTTGATTAATTTTCATTTTCCAGCTGTTTCAAATGCAATTATCTATACAACGCGGATTGTTACAGGACGGTCTCCGTCCAATGTTTATCACATCAAATGGGCCTTCTCCAAAGTTCTGCAGTGTTTACTATTTGCCGTCAATAACACACTCTCCACATACTAGGTGGTTGTTAATACCTACATTTCGAGTGCGAAAAAGACAATTTCATAGCATTGAAATCACATCAAACCGTGAGGAATACTAACCCCTCCAGTCGATGATGTAGGTCATTGGCCTTGTCTTGTCCTCGTTTACGTAACAGTAGATGAAATCCCTTGACGCACCAGTGTAAGGGATGCCAAGTTCAACTGTCCAACGACCCTCATGCATGTTGCAGTCTAAATGGTCAAGGAAGATGAAAATGCCTTGATGCGTTTTCATTAGCGTACCATCTTAGCAGAGAAGACTTGTGAAGAATTAAACAAAAGTTTGTCGTAACCGAATTTGTCTTATGCTAATGTGGTAGTAAAATCCCCAGATGTCTACACACTAGGGAATCAAGTGAAGATACTTAAGCAGCAAGCTGTAAGTTGTTCAACACTGTGAGACAGATGCCAAATTGAAGGAAGTACAGGAATGGGAATTTGCATGTATCTGCCTTAAATAACCATTTGCCCCTTCGCTATTTAAAGGAGTGAAAAACTGAGGCCTCGGTTGGCCATGTATGATGCGTGAAAATTTTCTGAGGCTTTCATAATGCACTACCTAATAGTGCACCACATTTTATCAAAATACTTTTAACGGAAGTTATTCTTCCCGTTTTTCATACCAGTGAAGATGAATGAATAGCAAGTGTTTAGTTAGTTATTAAATTGATGGCAACTTTTGATATTTGCGGTGCATGGGGATAACAAGTCATCAGAGGACAGGTCACTCACAACAGCCTCCCTTCGGTTGCATGCCAGCAGATTCAAATCCCGAGCAGAAAAGTGTTCCAGACCTGTAACAACTAATCTTTAAATACAAAATAATAATAAGGTGAATATTTGAAGCTGAAATTTTGTGATTTAGGCTATAATAAATTTAAGCATGTCTCACATTCTTTAGGTCCGATCGATTGCCATTGAGACGAAATAGCATGAAGACCTTTTCTTTGTCTGTGCACCTATCCAGTTTTGTGTCCTCTTTCACATAGAAGCCAGCTAAAAGTGAGTGTTTCGGTTATAAGTGCAAGGTTAGTGATTGTTTGCTGCATTGAGAAAACTTACAGAATTTGTAGCGAAGAAAAGCTTTGACAGGGTGTGGCATAGGTAAACGTACGGATACTCTCATCCTCAGCTTTGTGAATGGAAATTGGATATTGGCTTTCTAGCATGGCGTAGGAGATTTTCTCAACGTTTGGTAGAGTCAGGCGTGTCGAATAATAATCATCGTCTTAAAGGGAAGTGCAAATGCAAGCATCGTCCGTTTTATTGCAGGCGTTTGCGGAGTAAGTGTATGCGATATAAAATAAGATAACATTTGTACTCTCTTAGTCCATTGCTTGGTGCGAATAAATAAACATTAAGACGTAAAATAAAGGGAATTTCAAAAAAGTGAAGAAGTTTATAGGATTTAGAAATGCAAAGAAATCGTACGTTGAGTATAGGGACAGCGGAAGTAGCCTTTACTGTACGAACACCATCCTTTTGCCCAAATATATGTCCAGAATTTTTCATTTCCGATATATCCTTCCTTTAAGATATGCAGGCAAATTTTATGGAATCGTTATTAAAACAGTTGTGCAAAGTATGACACGCAGTTTGAACTATCACACATATCTCGTGGCAAATTATAGTACAAAAATAGCTCACTCACCTTATAACTGTCCACTATCGGTACCTCCAACGTAATGTCTCCAGTGGCATCCTTCGGAATTAGCCGTTGGCTCCAAGTACACAATTTGTTTCCCCTACTGCAAGATAACGTTGCTGCTGTAACACTCTTTTCAAGCAATCGTTATCACTAATTCATTAATTATAACATAAAAAGGCGTTGTTTCAAATTCGTTCGCCTTTATTAAACCGTCATTTTCCCAGGAATAGCCGGGTGCGTCTGAGGACAATTTAAGAAATACTCTATGGTGCTCTTGAGTTGGTCGTTTTTCGAGAAAGAATTTAAGTACTGACCGAGCATTCCATCGATTAACATAATACGTAGTTTTTAATTTGAAAACAGCTGCCTGTCGAGGGTACGTATTTTTGAGGAAGTGCTCGGAGCAAGAATGTCAGTTTATGCTGCTCATGGAGCTTGTTTGACAGAACATCCTGCAGATGGATCGACTGAGGAGGTTTTCAAATTACGCTTATAAGGTACGGTTTTTAGTCGATATAACATTAACAGTTGACATTTCTCTGTCAGAAGGACTATTTCTATGAACACTGACATCAAAAATAAAAAAACCAAGTCTGTTTGCCTGTTAGATATTCCGTAAAATCACAAAGGAAACATGTTGATGTCATTATAGCTGGGACAATTTTCGTGAAGGCACATTAGACATGCACGTACCTCATGTGAAGGAAGAGCGAAACTGCCACCAAACTGAGAAAGAGAAGGAAAACATTCGTCTGCATGTTCTCTGAAGTGAATGCTTATCAGACTGCACGCACTTTTATATTGCCAGGAAATGTGTTTTCACCACCGATAATGTAAAATCATTGGCTTAAACAAAAACCAGTGCTGGATAATTATTTTCTCATGCACAGCAATTCTCAACAACTTTGGAATGGTTTATGCAGTGTCAAATATACCGATGATTCATCTCCGCAGTAAGTCACGTGAGAGTTGGAAAACAGTCTGCACTTATCGGAAGTCTGAACGCACAAACTGGCCACGTGCGTCAACGACTCTTAATTAGCTACGTGTTTTGGCGTGGATGGATTAATTATGATTGATTGTACAGCTAAGGATCGCGGGATTATTTAGTTTTAAATGCAATAGCTAAACACGGCTAAGTCGTTTGAGACACTTATACTGTACATATATCCAAATGGCTGACGGTGCATGAGAGTTAAGTCAAGACCGCGGTAAGTTCAGGAGAGATGATTTCAGAAATTGCGATGAAGATACAACCACTTCTGAAACTGAAATGTATTGCACAGTAGAAGCAAATACTCTATTTTGTAAAACCACCAAAACGCATATGTTCACCTACGACTAAATTTGCACAAAACCCCGGTCATGCATATAGACCGACAAGCGAGCAATTTGAATACCAAGTAATTCCGGAGCATTCTTGCATTTTTCTCCTGTAGTACAGTAACAGAATAATTTTAAATCCTTTGCTTCATCGAATACTATCCAGAAAGTGATCTTACAAACGCAAAAACGAATGCACATTTATTCATATTCCAATCTAGCAGAAGGATCTTAAAATGCTTGGCTTTATTGAATACTCTTTGGAAGTCGATTTTCAAAAACCCCAGGAGGAATACAAATTTACTCATATCCTTAGGATGTACCAGCTGAGAGTGCAAAGTTGTCGTAGGTTTGTGCGCTTCTCGCATTTGGTGCTTCCTTAAGTGTCCTTCGACGAGTCCAGACACATTCTTAATGTAAGGAAGGGTTCGCCAAAGCTTAATTCAGGCGTCTGATTGGAACTACCCGGCTCCTTCTCCCTTGATTCTCGCTGCCTCATGTATCTGCGTACAAAATCCTCAGGGTATCCATTCTGCGAAAATAATTCGCACAAGTAATTTACTTCGGCTCAATAGCCTTCTTCATCTGAACAATGTGTTTTTGCTCGACCAAGTAGACTGTTTACGGCACTCCGTTTGTGAGAAATGGGCTGGTTGCTCTTATAAGGAAGAATGACTTCAGCGCAAGTTTCTTTCCGGTAAACGGATGTGCGTAACGTACCGTCGACCTTACGCTGCACGAGAACATCCAGAAATGGGAGTTTGCAGTCCACTTCCTTTTCAAGTGTGAATTGAATCCCAGCAATTGTTGGGTTGATAGTACTGTGGAGCACTTCTAGTTGGTTCTTTTTTACGATAACAAATGCGTCATCCACATATCGCAGCCACAATTTAGGAGTACACAACGGGAGCGCCGTTGCCTCTTGTTTCTGCATTGTTATTTCAGCGAGAAAACCAGAAATGGGTGACCCCATAGGGGCTCCCTTCATTTGCTTGTAGAATTGTTGGTCGAATGAAAAGTTAGTTTCCAAGCATAAACCAATCAGTTCGAGCACTGCGGCGGCGGACACATCTGTGTCGTAGCACAGCAGGAGGTCCTCGGTGCATTGTTTTGCGACATCCAACGGTATTGACTTAAACAGGGAAACGACATCAAAAGAGACCATTATCTCTTCGGCGGAAATTGTGATCCCTTGCAATTGCTTCGGGAATTCCGTCGAGTTCTCTATTGAGGTTTCACAATTTTTCGTGAGCGGATGAAGTTTCTGGAACAACCACTTGGAAATTTTGTAGTTAGGTGCCCTGATTAGTGATACGATCGGTCTAAGTGGGACTTCGGTTTTGTGGACTTTAGGTAATACATAGATCTTCGCGATGGTCGGCTCAGTTTGTTTGAGCGATTTAACGATGTCTTCTGACAGTTGTTTCTTCCCTATGAGACGCTTCAACACTTTGTCGATGGATGAACCTTGCGCTTTGGTGGGGTCTGTAGGGAGTGGTTGGCAAGTAGATCTGTCGTCTAATAATGACAGCATTTTCTGTTTGTAGTCCGGCTTGTTCAAAATGGCAGTGGAGCCTCCTTTGTCCGCGGGAAGAATGCTAATATTCTGGTCCATTTTAAGGCCTTTAATCGCCTTTTTTTCTTCAAGTGATAGTACTGTAAACTGGTTCCGGTCTCCTAAGGCGTGTACAGTACTGTTTCGGGTGGTAGACCGTTCGTCTTCAGTGAAGTTTGCTGTTGAAATAATGGATTCCAAGGTTGCAAGAAAGTCCAAATAATTCGAGTCGGAAAGATTTTACTTCAATCCCTTGGACAGCACACTCTCTTCCGTTGTCGTGAGGACTCTGGAGGACAGATTTACGACTTTCTTTGAAAAGTGCTGAGCTGTATCTGCTTTCCTTGAAATGGTCATCCATTTTCTGGCTAAATTACTCCTCTTCTTTTGTCTTTCGAGTTCAGAAACGTGTGAAATCGTTTCGTTCAACGAATCAAATAAGTGCGAAGGAAGCTGATCTCAACACAATTGTCTGTGCCGCTCCTTAGAAACTTGGCACTTTTGGAGGCGATAATGGGCGTCGGTTATGAATGCATCGAGCATGCTTCGTCCGTAATGAGAAGCAATTTGGTATCCCAAGGTAGATTTAACAGCGGGTTTCACACGCACGGATCTTGGTAGTATCTTCTTACTTCGGCATCTGTGCAGAAATGTTAACTGTTCTCGCGTTAGACTTTCCTGCACTCTTGACGTTGGCTTTTTCTTGCTTTCACACTTGCCTTCCGCTTGCGTCTGACGACGACCTGGGTAACCAGCGTCGAAAATTTACGCAATAAACCCTCTTGTCCCAAAGAACCCATCTCTTTTCAACATTTGTTTGACACGGTTAAATAGTTAACTGTTTTTGTACATTGCCCAAAAGTCTGACGACGAGCTGGGGATCCAGACTCGAAAATTTACTCATTAAAGTTTATTCCCTTCCCAAAGAATCTTACTTATTTTCAAATAAATAAATA